AAGAGAAGGGGGAATGTGATATCAGGAGTTCCCCATCATCTCTCTCCCTATGTGTGTGAAAGCTCAACAGCATTTACCTCTTGGTTTATGGTTTCTCTGTAACAGGTTTGCTTAGCTCAGGCTCTGATTTGCTTTTTGTCTCAGTGCTCATAGGTTTTTGGCAGCACTGGTCCTTTTTTTCCTTGTTTCCCTCTTTGTGCCCAAAGGATATTTTCTGGCTTGAGCTAAGGCAGAGGATAACCATGTGGGTCCACAGGTGTCAAACTGGTGAGATTACATGACACAAGCCCAAGGAATTAGGGTTTTACTGGTAAATCCAAGCCTCATTCAGGAAAAATAATAAAAATTCCAGGAAAAAAAGAAAAGGGGTTTTATCTGTGTTATTTCCCTGCTGACAGCTCCACCACTGCCCTTTTCTCAGAGATTGCCACTTCTCCTAGACACTAGCAGAGAACAAAAGTTACTGTATCTTCCCCTCACCAACTGAGCATTTTGGCATTAGGAAATCTCTCCTGGTCTGGCAGCAGTGAATTTTAGCCTTGGCAAGGATGTTACCTGCCAGTTCTTACCTGTCAAGTGACAGCTTGGCTTTGCTGCTGCCTTTCCCTGAGTGAACTGGGGATCAAGGTGGCATTTTCCCCCCAGTGAGATCTCTCACAGCACCAATGCCCTTTTAATCCTTTCCCAAACCCATCACCCTGTGAACTAAAGTGACAGATCCAAGCCCATCTGCATTAATAAGAACATGCATTCAGCTGGATTCAGGAAGCAAATGGTGTAAACCTCACTGTGACAGCTTTGGTTTTGATGTGTTTGAATGTGGCAGAGACTTCACATTCAATGCACAGGTCCTCTTGGAGCAAAGCTTCTCCCTGAGCTCCACAGAGAGCTGTGGCTCCAGCCTAATCTGCCCTGAGACAAAAGTCTCAGCTCATCCCCACAAACCTGCTCTGACAGGAGAAAACCTTTCTTGACCTGTTGCACAGCTCAGTAAATAAGGAGCTTTATGTATCAGAGATGCCCAGAAAAGCTGTGCTGGGATTAAGCTTTCCAGGGTAGCCCATCAGGGTGCCATGGGGATAGATCACTTCCAGGCACAGTGAGAAGGTGCTGGAAGGACAGGACAGTCCTTGGTGGGGGCTGAGAGCTCTCTGCTGTCACAAAGCCACCAGGAAGGAGTTGGGCTTCATAAAACTGCTCTGTGTGCTTGTGGCAGCTTTTCCATCCCCTCTCAGGGGTCTTGCCTGAGGGACAGCAGTGCCCAGATGGGTGTCAGGCTCCTCACAGCATGCAAGAGTGTGCTGGGGGGTGTTTAACTGGGAAGAGCATCCCCAGAGAGCTGTGAGACCCATCAGGCTCCTGCTCCAGCTTGCCACTGGGAAGGGAAGCCAAAGGCTACTCTGCTGTGCCCTGGATGGTGATTTTCTTGTGCCCAGCTCAGCTCCTTGCAATAAAAATGAACTAAATAAATCATTAGAAATAATTTAATTAAAGGAACAGAGTAAAGAACAGACATTCACATCCTGGAGACAATCTGGTTCCCAAGGGTTGTATTAACTGGTTTGCTCAGGCTCTTGCTTGAAATATTTCTATTCCCTCCTTCATTTTAATCAAGCTCACGCTCTGCCCATTCCTCTGTCTCTCTTTTTTTTTTTCCCTTTTCCTCTCTCCTCCTCTCTCTCCTTCCATCCAGCGAAGCCACAGGGACTTCCAGCTCATCAGCTTTGATAGAGAGTTCCCCGAATTTTGAAGCTGATCCAGTCAGCAAACAAATTAGAGACACTTAAATCTTCTAACTTGCTGTTGCTTTTGGGCAAGGAGATGGCAGAGCTCTTTGACATCCAATTTTTAATACATTTATGTAACGCACCAAACGTGTCTTTTCCTGATTTAGACTTAACTAGTGGAATTTTTTATTTTTTTTTTCCACAGCCATATGAAAGCTGCTCTCTCTCTCTCTCTCTCTCTCTCTGTTCCTAGGATGCTCAATAAAGCACAGGCTCATTAATGTGTTGGTGATCTATAGATCTGACAAGGACTGAGTTTGTAAATGTCATCTTTTTATTTCTCCCCTTTCTTTGCCCCTTTAAAAACACATTGCAGCACACCCCTCTGGTTTCAGTGCAATGATTTGCAGTAAACCATGAGCTCAGGTTTGGCAGCTTGAGAGGAGAAGAGGATGAAGAGGGACTGTGATTTAGGCAGCCCCAGGGAAGGAGGGGGCAGAGGACAGACAGGGGAAGATGTGGTCAGGGCACATTGACCTCAGCTCTCCCTGGTCCTACGTGAGGCCCATTAGTCTCTATTTGACTAAAGGCTCTGCTGCTGGCCTGAGCCAGAGCTGTGGAAGTGGTGGGGATGTTTAATTGGCATGTTGATGAGCTACAGATGAGTTCCCAGCCGATAGCTCTGAGACCCTCTGCAATCTCTGCTGCATCAAACCTTTTTAACTTCGAAGCAGCTAATCAGCCTCGATGGGACTTGCTCCTCTTTAGCTGTTACCCCCCACAACAGCTCAGGGACACATCCTGCCAAGAGCTGAATGTCTTTTACCCCTCCAGGACCTGACAAATTCATGATCAGGTCCTGTCTGGGCTCTGCCAGGTGTCAATCATGTTGTCTGGGGGGGATGCCCAGGGAGGCAGGAGAGGGTGGAGGTTGCTGAGTGGCCTCAGGGGTGAGTTGTGTGTGTGTCTTGTGCTTGTACAGGTTTTAATAGTTGGTGTTTTCAGTGTCCTGTGCTAACTTCTGCAGAGGAAGCTTTTACCTGCTGGCATCAGTCTTGCAGTGGTGTCCTTCAGGAGTGCCAACCCCATGGCACTCTGAGGGGTCTCCTTCATTTGTTTGGTTTATTCCCTTTTTCCCCCCCAGACACTCCCAAATTCCCTCTCCTTGAGGCACCTTGATGAGAGATGATTGCATTCTGCACTCCTTCCTGGGGACATGGTGGAGGGGAGGGGAGAGTTGCAAGCTGTAGGACAGCACTTGCTAATCAGAGCCCAGAAGGTGTCTGGGTTTATTGCAGTCCCCTGCTTGTTCTAAGACTTGTCTTCAGGGCTGGCTCTACCTTCATTTTAAGCTGGAGATGTGGCTGGTGTGTACCTGTGGTGCCTCTGAAGCTCATGGAGATGTCTTGCTATGTCCTCTCTCCCTGCCATCAGCTGCCTACAGGACACTGAGTGGAAGACTTCATTCAAATCATTAGTCTGAGTGGTGTTTCATCATCCCACACCACCAGGAGCCTCCAAATTCAGGAATCATTAGTGTGGCTGCGTCTGCATTGAGGGACTGCAGGGTGGAAGGAGAGAGCCAGGAGTGCCCCTTGTGCATCACATCAGCTCCTGGGGATTTTCTACAGAGATGAGAGATCTTCAGGTGTCACCAATCCAAATAACATCCTTTGCAGAGCAGCTAAATTGAGGGACCTTGTCTGCCTGTGGGGATGGAGCAGTGTCATGAGCTTTTCCTTGCTTCTTCCAGGCTTGAGGCTTTTTTGGGCTGGTTCACACTGAAACTGTGTGTTTGCTCCCTGCCTTAACAAGGCTGAACAGCATGACAGACCTGCCTCAGGATGCTTGCAGGTGTTGTAGGATCTCCTTAGGGCAGAGGGAGACAGCAGGAGGTGCAGAGATGACACCATGGGGGTCTGCAATGGGACCACACAGCCCTGAGGACCTGGAGGGAACTTCCTCCCTCCAGACCATGGAATGTCACCTGTCACCAGGTCATATCATCCTTCTCACAAAGCTCAGCTTGCTCTTCCAGGTGGTTTTTTTGCCCTTGCTGCTCTCCTAGGACAGGTATGTCATCACTTCAGCTCCATTAGAAACCCTCTCCCAGTTTTCAGCCTGTTTATTTCTGGCTGGTTTATTTCTGTTTATTTTTTATGCCAACTCTATCATTTTAGCTTCCAAAGCTGTTCTACCTCTTTGCTAGGGACCTCCTCCCCCTGATGTATTTATACAGACCAATCATCTCCACACCTAAAAAATCCCAAGTCTTAAAAACTCTGAAGTCCTAGCCTAGAGGCTTAACAACAGGCTGAACTTCTCCATGTCTATGTGGAGCCTTTGATTGTTTTCTAACACGTTTTGCAGATGGATATGTTTTCTGGTTTTCAGAGGCTCTTTATATGGAGATAGAGATGATTAAAATCACCTTGACATCCATCTTGCAGGGGAGGGAGAGATGTGATGATCCCAGACATCCTGTGACATATGATACTTCAGGAGCAGCGTGAGGAGTCAATTAGTGGCTTTCTCAGGCTTGGGAGGGGACAGTGGTGAGCTGGAACCAGCCAGGATGGGATGAGGGGAAGGACCCCAATATCTAGGAGTGTGTGGCTTTGGTGCTGTGTTAAAAGCAAGGTCAAACCCACGGCATTGCCAGAGGAGGAGGAAGGCAATTAGTCTCAGTATATGCCAGCAGGGGAGGGACAAATTGGAGAACAGTGAGGGCTGTTAAAATTAAAGTTAATCTGTCACTAATCTCTGGTTGTGAAATCCTGGAGGAGAAAAAAATGAGGCAGTGTTTATGAGTGATGACTGGCTCTGAGAAGCAATTGCTGCAGAGGGGCTGTTGTTTAGCAATCACAGCAAGAGACAAGACCTCTGTGCAGAGTTGGGAATCCAGCTGGGATGAATTCATCCCTCAGCACTGATGCAGACCCTGTGCAGGTCAGATAAAGCTGTGCCTCAAGGACTCTCTGCCTGTGAAATATGCATGGTAAATCTCCCAGTTTGGGCCTGTTGTTCCCAGAGATGAGTCCTGCACTGGAGTGTCACTGGGATGTTATCAGCTCGATGGTAGTGAAGTCACAACAAGTTGTCAAGCCCCAGATCTGCTCTCAGCCTGCTCTGACCACCATCACTGAGCACAGTGATGCCATTAACTTGAGGGACGTTGTCTGCCTCTGGGGGTGGAGCAGTGTCATGAGAACTTCCTTGCTTATTCCAGGCTTGAGGATTTTCAGGCTGGTTCACACTGAATCTGTGTGTTTGTTCTCTGCCCTCTCCTCACTGTCAGGTGAGGCTGATGACCCCCCAGTGCTTCTCCTGTTGGTGGGGAGACTCCAAGAGTTAATGCTTCCCACATATTTGCTTTCCCTGCCTGCTTTCCAATGAGTACAGGCTATTCTACTTGTATTTCCCACTGCTCCTTGTGCCTCAGGGTGAGGAGACTGGATTTGGGACACCTCAGAAGTTGGCACTGCTGTAATGGCTTGTTGGTCACATCACAGAATATTCAGAGTTGGAAGGGACCCATGAGGATCATCAAGTCTAACTCTTGGCCTTGCACAGGACAACCCCAAGAATCACACCTAGTGCCTGAGTACATTGTCCAAGCATTTCTTGAGCTCTGTCAGGCTTGGGGCTGTATTTACACCAACAACCAACCAACCCCTTGGGCTGGATTTACACCTACACCTGGGAGAGGAAAGGTCTTGACCCTTCCCTCAACATCCAGAGCCATTCAGTCTGCAGCACGAGGCTGCAGTGCCAGGTTGTGTTGGGAAGTCACACGAGCTGGGAAGTGACTCCAAAGTCCTCAAGCCATCAGTCACACTAGAGATGAAGCACTGCCAAGAACAGCCTGAGTGCATGGAGTCAATCCCAGCATGGTGTGAATCAGGGTGGTGAATCAGTGTGCCTCTCACTCCCTGCTAGTGCTGGGCACCCTCCTGGGCTGTGGCTCCCTGGTGCCTTCCACCCTCCTCTTTGGGCTTAACAAGATGAGTGTGTGATGGAAGAGGAATCGATTTGTTCCTACCACCCTGACAGCCAGGGCAGAGTGAAAGGCTAACCTGCCTCACACAGATTGTGTCAGCACCATGGATTTGCTCTGGCACCATGGCTACAAAGGAGCTGTGAAGATATCCCTGCACGTTGGAGTCACCTGCTACTTCTTGGGGACACAGCACCTCGATTCAGTGATGCCAGAGGATCAGGCCAGCAATCCAGCCTGAAGGGGCTTTGCAGGAGAAAAAGGAGGGAGAAGAGGTCTCAGAGGGAATTTTCCTCCCTCATCCACACATCTCTCCATGAGGAAAAGACGAGGTGAAAAGCAGAGACTCTTTTAGGGACAATAGGAGCTCGAGAGTCTAATTTGCATGCTCTGAACTAGCTGCTGGAGGTGCTGATCTCCCTGCCCAGAGCTCTGAGGGAGGGAGATTAGGCTCTCGAAGTTAAAATTAGGTTTTGTTGAATATTCCTCCCCACTGGCTGAAGGCAGTGGCTGCTTGTGCTGCATCACAACTGAATCACCACATCCTCCCAAGCTCTGGGGGACTGGTCCCCACCAGCCGTGGTGGGAATTAGGTTTGCTACCATAACACTGATGCTTGGATGGGTAAATGAGGCTGTTGGTGGAGCTGTTGGGCATGATGAGCCTGAATCAAAGGATTTGGAAGTACTTAATTGTAGTAGTTAGCCTCCATTGTAGCAGAAAGAGGAGATGAATCACAGAGCAGCACCACTGAGAACTTGGCTTTGCTTCACCACCTGCCACCAAGGTGCATGGTAGAGCCTCCCAACACCACCCTGGGAGGGACAACCTTGGCACTGCTGGGTAAGATAGACCCAACTTGGTGGCATCTGGGGGCAACACACAAAGCTGTTTGGCTACCATGAGCCCCAGGGAGCTGCTCAGCTCACAGCTGCAGGGAGGACACGTGGGGAGGCTGTGAGTAGGGACAGGTTTTTGGCACTGTCGAGCAGGTTGAGGGTGTGCTGGGGCTCTGCACCAGTGGGTTCATCTCTCTGCTGACCTGCTGTGGGGGTGCATTGTAAAGGTAATGGAGCATTGACAAACAGGCCAGCTTGATACTTGTCAGTCACCAGAGCCATATGGTGGGTGTGTGCAGTAATTTGCCCTATAAATTCCCTTATTGTGCTGTTTATCTCTCCAGATTGGCCACTGGCACGTTTCTGAAGGACTCAGCATGGACAACAGGATCTTCTCCTCCAACATATCAGAGAGCCTGTTCAACACCACACTCATTGTCACCACCATCCTGGTAAGTGAGGGGTCACCTGCTGCTCCCATTAGATCTTGGCCAGCCCAATCCTTAGGGGTGTCACTCAGCTGGAATCTCACTCCCTCTTCCTGTCCCCCTCAGCCCCAGCATGTAGCACTGCACACTGATTTCATAAAGAACAGACCATCAGATCTCTAATTACAGCACCGAGGACAATTCATGACAGTGTAATTAAACTCAAGTTGATGTTTCATATGGAAATGCTATTTGATGAGTTCAGAAGCAGCTGGGGAGAGGGCTGGGATGGGAATACATTGCCATTTTACATTCATCTCTGAATGATGTTCCTGTTTTGTGTACAGCTGGTGAGTTAGGAGGGACAGTTGTCCCTTCTACCCATAAAATTATAAAAATTGGCCAAGATGGGCATAATTTTGATGAAGATTTCACATCGACAGGCACCACTGTCCTCATTCAACAGGTTCCCCTTGCAGGTGCTGCCTGTCCAGTGATTCATTCCAATGCCTCTGCTCCTTTCTTAAAGACACCCAAAATCCTGACTGTTTCCTTGTGTCCAATAAAGTTTGTTGAGGAGGGGACAGACTGGAGAAGTGGCTCTATGCCAAGAGAGGCTGCATGGAGCTGCCATGACTTGGAGCAGTCACTGGGCTGCTTTGGCATGTGCCACTTGGAATCAGCCTTCAAAGCATGATTTTGGTGAGACCCTGTCCCAGGTTGCCCAGGGAGGCTGTGGCTGCTCCAACCCTGGCAGTGTTCACAGCCAGGTTGGATGAGCCTTGAGCAACCTGCTCTGGTGGGAGGTGTCCCTGCCCAGGGCAGGGGGTTGGGGCTGGATGGTCTCTGAGCTCCATTTCAACCCCTAAAATTCTGTGATTCTATGCTCCCTTAGCTTTGCTGCATGTCCTGAGCTGGGAAAAATCTGCTCTACCTCAACACAGCAGAGACTAATGAATACCACAGCCAGGTTGGATGAGCCTTGAGCAACCTGCTCTGGTGGGAGGTGTCCCTGCCCAGGGCAGGGGGTTGGGGCTGGATGGTCTCTGAGCTCCATTTCAACCCCTAAAATTCTGTGATTCTATGCTCCCTTAGCTTTGCTGCATGTCCTGAGCTGGGAAAAATCTGCTCTACCTCAACACAGCAGAGACTAATGAATACCAGAAACAGCTTAGCTTTGCTGCATGTCCTGAGCTGGAAAAAATCTGCTGTACCTCCACACAGCAGAGGCTAATGAATATCAGTGTGGAAACAGCTCAGAGAGCTTTACATCACTGCCAAGTTTTCCATATCTCTTATACCTAGGCTGAGGGGGATATATGGAGATGGGATGTTGGTCTGGTGCCACTTACATTAGGGTTGGAACTAGATCTTTAAGGAACTAGATGATCTCTAAGGAGCTAGAAGATCTATAAGGTCCCTTCCAACCCAAACTACTCTGGGATTCTTGGAGTCTCTGCCAGCCTGGGATCAACCTGTCCTCTCTGCTCCATGCTGGTGGGACACCTAGGCTAAGATGGGAATGACAGCTGCCCAGTTTCAATGCAGGAAAACCCTTACTTAATGCTGAAGTGGAACCATCAGGAGCTGGAAGGCAATGACCGCTACGAGGGCTTCTGTGTGGACATGCTGAAGGAGCTGGCAGAGATCCTACGCTTCAACTACAAGATCCACCTCGTTGGGGATGGTGTGTATGGAGTCCCCGAGGCAAACGGCACGTGGACAGGGATGGTCGGGGAGCTCATTGCTCGGGTAAGTGAATTAGCTGCTCTTTTTCACTCTGCTCTCCTGGGACTTGGCAATGCAAAGCTCTGATGCTTCATTAAGTGCTTCAGGATGATAAGGATGGATGGAGGGTTTAGTCCATTTGGGAGACTTTGACCTGAGGATTTCCGTTTAATGTGTTCTCTTGATGGCAATTGTATTTGTGGTGGTGATGTGACAGTGTGGGAAGGAGCCAGAGCAGGAGCAGAGGCCTGGGGTGTTCTCAGGAGTGCTCAGCCTGGATGCTGGGATCATGCACCAGAGCTCATTACAGAATGGATTCTTTTTTTACAGTGGAAAGATTAATGAAATCTTGCAACAGGAAAATACTGAGGCTCTGGCAGGGCTTGAGAAGAAGCTTAAGAAAACTTAGAAAACCACAGTGTTTGGGAGGGAAGTTAGTAAGAATCACATTTCTACCCAGAGAAGTTTTGACAGATTCAGCTCAGCCCTTTCACTTTGAGTATTGTACTGTTGAAGATTTGAGGGAGGCTGTGGCTGTCCCAACCCAACCAACAGCCAGGTTGGATGAGCCTTGAGCAACCTGCTCTGGTGGGAGGTGTCCCTGCCCAGGGCAGGGGTTGGGGCTGGATGATCTCTAAGATCCATCCCAACCCCTTCACATACTATGAAATTATGGCTGATTTTGGAGCAGAACACTTTTTGTTTGCTTGAAGTGTGTGGATGAGTGATGTTGGTGCCCAGCAACGAGGCTAGATGCTTTTGCTGGGTTTGACAATGATTCTGTAGACACCTGTACCCCCTCCCTGCTCTTTGTTTTCCTCTGTGGTTAAAGGTAGTCCTTCCCCAGGGCTCCAAAAGCTTAAAGAGAGCTCACAAAATGCTCTGAGATCCTTAGTAAAATAGGCTTAGCCAAAGCTAACAGTAAGATTGATGCTATTTAAGCCAATACTTCCTCACTCCCTGATTTCTGCCCTGCCTTGTCATTATTGAAGTGCCTGTGAGAAACCAGTGATGGTTTTTCAGCTGGTGACAAATCCACAGTGAGGTCTGTGGTAATCCACACCACTGGGGGAGAGGAGACCCTGAATCACTCTGTCATTTGCTTCCTACAAAGCAGAAGAGGAAGGAGGGCCCAAATCCATCTCCTGGGGCTCCAGGCAGGGATCTGGGGCTCCTGCCATGGTTTTCCTCCTGGCTGGGGAGAAAAATGAGCATCCCTTCATGATGTGGTTTATTGGGCATGGTGTTATGTGGCTGAAGGTTGGACTTGAGCATCTTGGAGGTCTTTTCCAACCCTTAAAGATTCCATGATCTCTGCAAGATACCCACTGGTATCTGACTGCTTCTTCCCTGGGTGGTGAAGGGCACCAGGGAGCTCTTCTTAGAGCTTCAACTGAGTGTCTACAGTTAGGTTGGACAACTCTAGGTCTAAAGAATTAGGGAATTGAGGATTTTCTGGAGGTCAGACACAGGGCATGGCACAGACTGGAGAGTCTCCTGAGTTTAGCTCCTTGTCTCCAGGGTCACCCTTCCCTACCAGAGCATTAGCTCTCGATGCCAGCTGAGATCCCACCTCCATCTGCTCTTTTAAAAGCCCTTCTGTGTAGCTGTTTGCAAATGCTCCAGGCTATTGGCATAGTTTTTATCCATCTTGCTCTGTCTGTGTATGTATATACACACACAATTACAGTTCTGCACCATTTCTTTGTGGTGGAGGCAAGAAGGAAGGTGCTGAGAGCAGTGTGTGATCTCTGCAAACAAAGGAAGGAACAGCCATCCAACTTTTGGCCTACTAACCCTGGTAGTGCCTCTTCATTAAATGGGAGCTTCTGGAAGGTTGTTTTTCTTCAGTGATAAGTGTTATACCTTCATCTTCACATAGAAACCATTTGTTTCTTCTGCAGCTCGTGGTGGAGGCAAGAAGGAAGGTGCTGAGAGCAGTGTGTGATCTCTGCAAACAAAGGAAGGAACAGCCATCCAACTTTTGGCCTACTAACCCTGGTAGTGCCTCTTCATTAAATGGGAGCTTCTGGAAGGTTGTTTTTCTTCAGTGATAAGTGTTATACCTTCATCTTCACATAGAAACCATTTGTTTCTTCTGCAGCTCTTA